ATTTAAATATGGATAAGTGGAACAGAGAACTCCTAGACAAGTATTGTAGAGAATACAGTGTTGGTGTTGTAGCATTTCAACCTTCATCTGAAGAAACACTTGTAGGTGCTCAACTCAAAGGATTTCCATTGTATATTCATACAAATTTACGACTGAAGGTAAGCACAATTGAGTTCTTTATTTTTGTTTTATTTTGGTCTGCTAAGATTTTGTTAATTACTGGTGAAATTATGTGTTCAGGATGCCGTATTAAATGCTGCATCTCCAATATTGAGGTTAACTCGAGCTGGAGAAAGTGCATGGGGCCAACTGCCTGATGATTGGACGGTCTTTCACCCGAACCACTCAACTTATGAACCATTGGCTTGGGCAGTGAGAGATACACCTGGTGGGCTAGATAAAACACCACTTCCTACCATAGTGCAGGTGAGCTCCTTCAGTAGTGAAAAGCACTAATTTTATCTGTTCTTCTACACGTTTTGTGTGTGTAATGCTGTGATTAAAACTTTTCAGGACCATGGACAAATTGATGGAATTCAAAGAGTTTTGTTTGGAAGTGGTTTGAAATTCTGGCTCCACAAGCTTCTTTTCCTTGACTCTTTATCCTATTTATCGCATGGCCAACTAAGCGTAAGCCTGCAACGTTTCCTTCTTGTGGATATTGATGACATATTTGTTGGAGAGCGGGGTACGAGGTTAAAGCAAGATGATGTACAAGCACTACTTGCTGCCCAGACACGTATTCAAAAGATGGTCCCTGGATTTAGGTTTAATTTAGGTTTCTCTGGAAAATATTTTCATCATGGCACTCCAGAGGAAAACCTTGGAGATGATACATTACTAGGTAAAATTACTATTTGAAAACTTCTGAGCATTACCATTTAGGTATCTGTATTCTCATCTTTTTCCTTTCCCACCTCATTAGAGAATGTAGGTAAATTCAGTTGGTTTAGTCATATGTGGAATCACCAGCAACCACATCTCTATGATAATGGAACACAGTTATCTATGGACATGATGCTAAATAAGAATTTTGCTAAGGTAGTACAGTATTTTTTACGTTTATTTTTATTTTACTTTTTTTGTTTATTTTTATTTTTTGAAATTAACAATTCGTCTGTGATCTTTAGGAGCATGGAATACCGACAGATTCAGGTTACTCTGTGTCCCCCCATCACTCTGGTGTCTACCCCGTTCATGAGCCTCTTTATGCAGCTTGGAAAAAAGTGTGGAATGTGAGGGTGACTTCAACTGAAGAATACCCACATTTGCGCCCTGCTCGTCTTCGAAGAGGTTTCATTCATCGCAACATTATGGTGTGTTTATTAACTTTTTTCACATAGTTACTAAGTTGGACTTGAGATTAATCCACTTTCCTCTTTTGATTAAAGGTACTACCTAGGCAAACTTGTGGTCTTTTCACCCATACAATTTTCATAGAAAGATATCCAGGAGGGAGAGTGAAATTAGATGAGTCCATACAAGGTGGAGAACTATTTCAAACGATTGTCTACAACCCTGTAAGTATCCTATTCATTGATTATCATTATATTTATCTACAATAAGTTAACTTTCTTTTCTGTTAAACTTCCGAATTTTCCTCATAGTGTTTTCTTGGCTTTCTTTCTAGATGAACATTTTTATGACTCACATGTCTAATTACGGAAATGATCGCTTAGCATTGTACACGTTTGAATCTGTCATCAAATTTGTACAATGCTGGACAAATTTGCAGTTGATTTCTGTCCCTCCCCTTCAGCTTGCTGAGAAATACTTTCAAATGTATCCAGAAGAAGCAGATCCTGTGTGGGGCGTAAGTAGTGATCTGTAGTATTTATTTATAATATTCTTTTATTGATGCTATTATTTGACATTCTCCTTATCACTTCTTTTTTAGAATCCATGTGATGATTTGAGACATGAAAAAATTTGGTCTCGCAACAAAACATGTGAACAGCTGCCCCGGTTTCTTGTTATTGGACCTCAAAAAACGGGCACCACCGCTCTTTACACATTTTTATCAATGCACCCTGAAGTGTCCTCTAATTTTCCAAGTCAAGATACATTTGAAGAAATTCAGTTTTTCAATGGCAAAAATTATTACAGAGGCCTTGATTGGTGAGTGCTTAAAATGATATAGTGTGAAGTTTTTCCTTCAAGATCCATTATTCATCGTTTCTGTATGACAGGTATATGGGTTTTTTCCCCATTCCTACAAATTCCACATCACGGTTCTTATTTGAAAAGAGTGCCACATACTTTGATGGTGAACTTGTTCCACGTAGAGCTCATGCACTTCTACCTCATGCCAAGCTTGTGACCATTTTAATATCTCCTGCTCGACGAGCCTATTCTTGGTACCAGCATATGCGAGCACATGGAGATGAGATTGCTTTGAACTATTCGTTCCATCAAGTCATCACTGCAACAGATACTGCCCCTAAAACGCTAAGAGAGTTGAGAAATAGGTAATATACTTCTATTTTTTCATATTTCTCTCTAAATTGGAATATGCTTTTTATATTATTTATTGAAATTATTTTTTTATCCTGTATCTGTTGTTTTATCAAACAGGTGTCTTAATCCTGGAAAATATTCTCAACACTTAGATAGATGGCTGTCCTACTACCCATCTCAACAGTTGCATATAATTGATGGTGAACAACTAAGAAATAATCCAGTTGAAGTTATGAATGAGCTGCAGCGATTTTTGAAATTATCTCCACCATTTGATTTTTCAAAGCATCTTAGGTAAGAATATCCTCTAAAACTTAGGAGGTGGTAATAAGGCTTAAATCCTATGTCCATTTATGTCATTGTTTTCTTTATTCTAATGTAGATACGATCCAAAGAAAGGATTCTATTGTCAAGTAGTAAGTGCTGACCATAACAAGTGCTTGGGGCGCAGTAAAGGGCGTCAATACCCTCCAATGGAAGAACGTTCTTACAAGCTTCTTCAGGTATAAATCTATCCCCCTTTATTGTGATAAAGATTTGATTTGTAGCAAGGAAGCCTTTTCAGACAGATTATTTGTTTCAGCGTTATTATTTGTCGCACAACACTGCATTAGCCAAACTTTTGAAAAACCATGTTATACCTCAATGGCTGAAGGAAGATCTCAGTGTTTTGTGAACAAACATCTTCATAAAGGAAACTGCTTAAACTGCAGTCTCTTGGTGGATATCTACTGTCTGCCTCAATTTGGATTTGAATCAACATCTTCTCCATGAAAGAGGCTGTTTGGTGCTAATAAGTCAATTGTAAGTCAGTGCATGCCTCTGGCAACCACAAATTGTGTCCAGAATGTTCTTTGTACTCCATGAAAGTGCTACTTTCAGTAAGAATAATTATTTATCATCTGGAAGATGAAGTGTATGTAAATGTTTCACAATAATGTACAGATTATATTTATACAGATGTTATCACCATGCCATTTGTGTTTTGTCGTGACTTTATAAATTAGTAATATAGTTAGTTAGGCATGAAATGAAGATTTAAGACTTTTTGTGGAACAAAAATATGCTGCTTTATTGTACCTAAATTGTGTTCCCAGTGTTGATACTGATTCCTGATTTTGTTAAATTGTTGAACTGTTATTGAGTAGATTAAATTTTTCCTCTTGAAACTCCTTGTGTGGCAGGGATTTGTATCCATGCAAACAGGCAGCAGAAATGGACTCCTTGCACAAAAGCTATCATGTATAATGCAAAAAAATGTTCTGTTTTCAGGAAGAATTTGTTAAATTTTCAGGCTTATTTATTGATATTACAACAGTCCAAAATTGCAGGATTTCTGGTCTTGGACTCTCTATGTATAAGTTGTTGCCTCTGTAGTATGTTACTAATGTAGTACTATCATGAATTACTTGTCTGTGATATTCTGGTTGGTGACAATGTGCAAGTCACTTACTTAGTTTAGTTAATTAATGTCTATGACTGGATCACCACCAGTTAGTCCACTCATTTATCTTCTTTCATTTTTATACCATTAATAGGAAATAATTCCCAACAAATTAAGTTTTTGTCTTCTACCTGCAGAGTTTTAAATATGATTGTATCTCAGGGTATTGCGCTAATTGAATCACTTGTGTTCAATGAATCTCTTAAATGTGTAGTAAACAACTTTTTGTAAATTGTAATTGATGTCATAGTATATCTTTTTAAGAACTCAGTTTGACTACACCCTAATGTGGTTTCAACATATCATCTGCATGTGTTCCATATTTCATCAACTAATGTCGGTTATCATTGTAGGTTGTTTCACATTACCAACTTTTTGAATTGGAATTTTATTGAAATTTTAAGTTATAACAATTGGCACAAAGATGTCCTTGTTTGTCATACCAACAATCAAATATGTTGAAATATTCATGATTTCTGAGTCATTGAAACACCTCAAAAAAATAAACAGATAAAGACATTATTTTTAAATGTTTTTCCTTATATTCTTTATATCACATTTGTCTACGGATCAGTCAAGAGTAGAGGCTTGTACCTCACGTTTAGTATCGTCTCAAAACAGACCTGCTCTCGCATTTTCTTCGTAATCGCCAAAATTCGTCCACGTGTGGTCCCACAACTGAGGGTCCGCTTTGGGGTCCCATGGAAGATTTCCCGGGGGCACAGCGGTAGCGTTGATGTCGTGAAGGATTTGCTTGACGTGCTGGAGCACGGCTGGGAACCTGCCAGCGAGGTTTCGCCTTTCGCAGGGGTCCGTGGCCACGTTGAAGAGGCATGGCGCCAGGAGGGGCTTGCACGAGGGGCCGGCGCGGTCGCCGTCGCTGTCCGCCCCGCACTTGACCTCGGCCAACTCGCGCAGACTCCAGACCTGTGACAAATCCTTGTCCCGTGAGGGAGCAGAAACAAGCCGCAGGGATCTTCTTCAGGTCGGTGGAACGGCCCCTCACCTGGTCCGGCGTCAGATGCACGCCCACGGAGGCGGCGGCCTTGCCCGTCGGGCTGCCGATGACGCTCGACACGTCGTACGGCCGAAGGACGGGGTCGTCGCGCCCGGAGGGCCCGTACCAGGAGTCCCACGTCCCGTTGTAGGTGGCTCCTGGGGACAAGTAAAAGGCGTAGAGTGTCGGACCAGACCAGACCCGGGGCGGGGGCGGGGGCGGCGCCGTGACCCGGCCGTGCATCACGAACCTGTGACGACCTTCCACTGGTTGACGGTGATGGCGGCCACGCCGTACACGTCGTCGATGTTGTGGAGCACCGACGTCCTGTTGGAGTCGAGGTCAAAGGACAGGGCGTCCCACAAGTCCACGCCGTCCATGGTGGGCAGCGCGCTGCGGGGAGTGGCCAACGCAACACATGAACGACAAAGGTCATGCCGGGCGTTACGCCGCCGCCGTCTCACTCACCTCGGATCCCCGCCCGCGGCGCGGTACAGGGTGGGCAGCCAGTCGGTGACGTGCATCAGCTGGCGGGCCACCCTGGCCGGGCGCGCCAGCAGCGGCGACCACAGCAGCGCCGCGCCGCGCACGCCGCCCTCCCACAGGGTGTGCTTGACGCCGCGCAGCGGCCAGTTGGACGCCGCGTTCAGGTTGAAGCCCTCGGCGGGGCCGCCGTTGTCCGTGCTGAAGACGATGACGGCGTTGCGCAGCATGTTTTTCTTGCGCAGCGCCTCCACCACGCGACCCACCGACTCGTCCACGCGGTGCACCATCGCTACGCGCGGAAACAGACGAGCACACGGACATCAAAAACTTTGCCGCCACGGCGAGCTCAACGTGAGTGACATACTGACCGGCGTAGCGCCGGCGGTTGTAGTCCGGGATGATGTCGTGCTTGGCGACGTCCTTGTCGTGCGCGGGCAGCGGGTTGTAGGGGTTCCCCGAGTGCGGCGCCACGTGCGCCAGGTACAGGAAGAGCGGCGTGGACGCGTTGTGCGCCCCGATGACGCGCTCCGCCTCCTCGGTGAACGCGTCCGTCGAGTAGCGGCCGTGCAGGTCCCAGGCGGGCCGCATGTCCCGCCGCATGTCCAGGCCCCAGTACGTCTGCGGCAGGGCAGAGGCAGCCATGGGAGTGAGCTCGGCCCTGCCCGGGCGCAGGGGAGTGTCCCCGCACAGACTCTTACCTCCAGAGCGGAACTGATCTGAAGGACTGACCTTCTCCACGGCGGTGTGGTCGAAGTAGTCGTGGTGGCCGGTCCAGGGTCCCAGGTGGGAGCGGAACCCCCGGTGCGTGGGCGTGTACTCGCGCCGGTAGTGGCCGAGGTGCCACTTGCCCACGATGCGGCAGTCGTAGCCGCGCGCGTGCAGGTACTGCGGCAGGAGCACCTCGGACAGCGGCAGCCCGCGAGGCTCCGCCCCGAACAGCACCGTGTGCTGCATGCCTGCGGGCAGGACCGGGCGGGTGTTGTTGGCTGGCCGGGGAGGACCCGAGGGGCGTGTCTCCGCCACGGCCGAGGCCACGGCTGACTTACCAGTGTGGATGGGGTACTTCCCCGTCATGAGCGCCGCTCTGGTCGGCGTGCAGATGGGCGTCACGTAGTAGTTGTTGAGGATGAGGCCGGAGTAGGCCAACGCGTCCAGGTTGGGCGTCGGTATCTGATTGGATCCGTGAAAGCCGACGTCGTTCCACCCCTGGGAAAATTAGAAACGAGATTTAAAACAAAACCAAGGGAGTTCCTACTCTACGGCTCACTGAAAGTGGGGTAGCTCACGAGGTCGTCAGCTAGGATGAAGACGATGTGCGGCCTCTCCCTGGCAGAGGAAGGCCGGGGCCGCGGCCCCGCACGCTGCTCAGGCACCTTGTTGGTGTCGGCTGGGCTGGCACCGGGGCTGGAGCTCGCCCCCGAACTCGAGCTCTCTGCGCTTGAGCTGGTAGGGGGGAGCGTGGTTGGAGTCGCAGCCGTTGCCGCAGTAGGCGTCGAGGCTGTGGATGGAGTCGCTGTGGTTGACCCGTTTGCAGAGCTTGAGGGCGACGTCGTGGAGCCCGGCGACACCACAGGCGCGGACACCGTGCTCAGGGCGTCGGCCCTCGGCAGAGCCGCGCACAGCAGCAGCAGCGGCGCGGCGAGCACCACCAGCGCAGCCTGCAGCCACCCACCATTCCATGCCGTCACAAAGCTGACAGGAGACTTGGTGAAGTGTACATTGCCAATTTGCTTCGTATCTGTACATATAGATGACGATTGCCATCCAAATTTTGTGCTGAGCTCGGCTGAGCTCCATCTTAAGACTCTCTTTAGGAGCCTATTTAAAAAAAATAATCACAAATTCCATTTTTTATTTAAAATATGAAGTTCTATTTGTACTTCAAATGTGCCGTTTTGGAGGGGTGGTTCCTCCGGGTTCCTCTTTCATTTTTCGATTCCAGGACTTTTTTCATCAGTTTCTGTATAGCTTTCGGCACTTTTCCCCTTTACATGCTCCCCCAAAGTACCCCGTAATGTGAAGCTCAACACAAAATTTGACCGGCAATCGTCATCTATAGGGATAAGAAGCAAATATACCGAGTTTGAGTAAGATCGGGCATCTACGCTTCCCTTTCTTTGAGGCCCTTCCTCAGCCCCTGCGACTCTGGGGGTAGGCAGGCCCGCAGCGCGGCCGTGGCCAGCGGGCGAGCCTACCCGGCCTCGGCAAGGCGCTCTGCGGCACCCACTTGCGCGGCGCTGAGGCGTGTTGCCGCTGCCTCGAACCTCCCTCGTCAATAACTTCAAAACCTGCGACGGTATATAGCGAGAGCGAAGCGAGAAAGAGTCTCGAGAGGAACGCGTGAGGGGAGGGGAGGGGGCCGGTATGTCGTGGGGTGAGCTCAACACGCCATCCTTGACCCGGCGCAGCACCGCGCGCAGCAAACGCCGAGTGCGCCTCTCACACACGTGCGCCACACGTCCTCCGTTTTCAGTTTTGGGGATTTCAATCGGAGCCAGAGGTACTCCAACTCGGTGACCCGGTCGGGGGGAAGGCCCCTCCAGTCCGGAGGGCGTTACTTAAAGGAAATGGGAAGACGAAGTCTCGGCATCGTGGGTGATAATAATGAGAGGACGATATCGCCCAGGCATTCTGGGCCGAGTCTGGCGCCCGACAAGATTGGAGACGGGGAGAGAACGTGTCAGGGGGAAACAAGTGGGAAGGTGGAAGAACGGCCGATGGTGTTTGTTCAAGTCGCTCTGCGGTGACTACACAGGCTGCCGGGGTCAGCGCAGCTTTCACTCTCATCGATGGACATATTTAGGACCCCGCGCCCCTCTCCCTCCCCCTCCTTCCCTCTCTCTACGCCCCTCTCCACCTGTCTGCACGACCTGCCGGGACCTGCGTATACACAACATGCATAAATAATTTTGCGTTTATGAGGAGAAAACTAGGTGCCTTCCTGCCCTGCCCCCACCCAGGAGGACTGGAGTGACGCACAGCTCACGGCTTGCCTCCTCTCTTACCGTCGCACGAACAAGACGAACAACTGTTTTGTTTTGTATTTTTTCACAACAATTTTCACCAACAGATTGCATAGATCATTGCTGCATTCAGTATGTCACAAACATCGTAGACTGTGGTATTTCTCCCGCTCTCAGCAGTACATATGTACTGCAGCTGACAAGAAACCATTGGTCTTGTCGGTAGCGGCAATGAAACTATGACCTAATGTACTCTCGAGGGTCAGTGATCCGGAACAAAAAAAAAAGAAAAAAAGAAAAAGACACAAGTATGCGTGATAGATTTGAACTGAGCTGGCCGCATCATTGTCTGTTTCTCAAACATGCTTAATGTATCGTCCTTACTGTGACAGTGGTTTACTCAATGAGTAATACTCACACTGTCCGGTGTACTGACAGAGAAGGGGAAAAGGAGGGGGGAGGACGGGGTCATTCCTGATTGGGGCTTATTGAGAACCGTCGCGTCACGTCAGTCGCACTGCACTTGCTGCTGGATGGGAGTTCGAACACTGCTTGCTGGGACTGGCCTGACCACGGCGACGGCGACTGCGAGCTGCGAGGACAGAGGGAAGCCCGGGGCACGTCGGATCACTCACCACTCGGAGCGCGCGCCCGGCTCGCCCCGCCGCCCGCCTCGGTAGCTGGGCGTGATCCATGGCAGCTGCTATGGGTTCAACGACTGGGCCATGAGCCTGGCGGCGGGCTGGGCGCCGCATCACGGGAGCGCATCTCATGGCGTCACTGCACGGCTCATGGCACGCGTGGATGCACCCGCGGCAGCGCGCTGCACCTACGGCCGACAACTGCACAAAGGGGTTCACTTTGGCCATATTGGAAATGCTGTAAGTCTTGTTTCTGGTTTTAGTCTGCCTGTGTCGCCTGATTTCTCATCTCACCTTTTTCGTCCTCTTCACTGGGCTGTCGTCGTCGGCACGCTGTTTGAATGTCCCCGCCGCGCCGGGGTGGCCTGGACTAGAGTCCTCTGGACCTTCCTCTGGACCGGGTCGGACTGCGGAGCGGGTGGAGCGGGCACGCTGCAAGACGGCGGCGAGCGGCGGGGCGGGCGCGGCGGCCCCCTCCTACTGCTCGGCGGGTGAGCCGCGGCGAGCCACACCTCGCTCCGCGCGGTGACTGCTGAGCACTGCCGAGTGACAGCGGTGACAGCCGCGCGCGGCACAGGTCAGGGTGGGGAATGACCTGGACCGACCCCGGACCAGCCTCACCTGGGCTGGGCCTTCGTTACTCCGCATAAGATTAAGAAAATGTCGACTTCTCAGAGGAAACAGCAGGAAATGTCACGGTATAAATCATGAGCCTGGGGTCAAAAGGAGCCTGCTAAACCCAAAGTCCCCGTCACGAC